GTATGCACATGGAAACTGTGACGCAGGAGGTTCAGGCCCAGCCTGCCTGTGACGTACTTAACGGTTTATTTTCAAAATTTGCGAGCTTCGATCTCGTTTTAGAAACTTCAGGTGACAATTTTAGAAAAAAATACATGTAAATAAACCTTAAATTGTAGCACAATATATTTTTAATATTTCCCTATGCCACCATGAAGAAGTCATATCTGTGCTTGGAGCACATAACCCCCCCTTCTACCCCCATTCGGGCTAATCGAATCGTCATTATTAGCGCCCTTCAAAATTCAGGCTAAGCTCTAGACAGAATTGTCTTCGTATTGTAACTGTCAGTATACTGTCACAAAGAACAAATGTTAACCTAAGCATGAAATAAATTTTCTCACCACGTCTTTTCCAGAGGCGATTGCTCTCGGACTGCAAGGGAAGCTCAGCTATGTAAATTTCATTGTGTGTACATGTCATTGACAAAATATGCTCTACAACGTGCTCAACTTTTGTTCCGAATCAGCTTCTTCTTACTGGTTAGTGCCCGGACGCCAAGAGTCTCGAGAGTTCATTGTATGTTGTCCCAATGCGTTGAACGGAGACGAGTCATTGGATACAAGCTGGTTTTTGTCCCGCCCACGGGCGCTCGGCGTCTCCGGGACAGGATGGCAGTGGGCGGGTACCGGACGCTCAGTTTTTCAGCATCAGATTGGGTGATCTGTCTGAGCCTGTGTTCCTGTTAGATTGACATCGAAATAAGCCAATCACCGATCTTTTAGTGTCGGCTTCCGTGGGAGTACTTTCAATTCTCATTCTGTTCTAAATTGAACTGGAGACGACTTCTAATCATTTTAGCGACACTCTCTTTGTTGAAAACGAAAAGCGACGAATTAATCTTTTATTACTGGTGGGTTTTATTGTAGTTGCTGTAGTTGTAGGACACTAGTTAAGTTTCTGGATAAGACGCCTTGTTGGTATGACAGGGTTACAGATAACGCACGAGCGAGTGTGCACAAGAATTAGGAGGCTGTATGTAAAAAAAAATAAATAAAAAAATCTGAAACTGCATTTAAGGGTGGCTCAATACTGGCTGGCCATATTCGGGCCGGAGTTGTAAATTGATTTCTGGCCCAAATACTTCACTCCACAACTGGCCCTCATCTGGTTTGCCAGAGTCAAGCCAGTGCCTCCTTTGCCACTCCTGGGCCGTGTTCGGCCCACATGCTTTATGCCAGTGCCGACACAAGGCCAGCTGTGCCGGCTTCATGCCGAATCCGGGCCAGATGCCTTTGCTGACTGGGAAACTAGTCAATTAAGCTCAGCAAAATGTTGCTATTTACTTGGTCTTGTTCCTGATTGTATTATAAGTGTGTTGGATGATGTTCTGTAAAAATGTGTTTTATTTCATAAAACCTTGAATGTGGACTGTATGATAAATATTGGCTTCAATGTTACAGATTGGGCAAGCATATACGAGTGAGTGCGCTTGAACGTGTGTGTGCGATTGTGGCCACCCATTCGTGACAAGTTGTCAGCCTGACCACCTAACTGACACTTTTGGCTACACCCGAGATTTTAATCAACAGCATAAAATGGTGGTGGTTATTTCCCTTTTGTGTCTCTTTGATATGCTCCACCTCCAGAAACGAACCCTCAGTGACGATCACCTGACAGATAACGCAACTAACAGAGACCTTTAAACCGTGTGCAACCTTAAGCCACACCATAATATCTATCTTCAAACCTCAGAAAATCGCTCATGTATTTGTATTATAAGTGCATGTCTGGTGTTTGTCGCAAACGTATCCGTGTCAAATTCGATAATCAATCGAGTTATGATTAAATCTCTGTCACCAACGAGTTACCTCAATACAAGTGACTGTAAGAAATGGTCGGGAGTCGGGACTCCCGGCTCAAAATGGCGGCTCCGTCTGCACGTTCAAAACCAGCCGGGACTGTTTCAGGAACCCCGCCCACCTGTTTCAGAAAGCTGTGCGACGCCCCAATGTCAATTCAAACAGAATTTTAATATTGATTTTCAAAAAAAATATATATACATTTTCACAAAACCTACCGAAAGACTATGAATATGTCGTATTATCATATATAAAACTAATGTATAGTATTTTTACTTTGAAAATAAAGGAGAGATATAAAGAGAAGAGAAAGGGTACGCTCGCTTTGTGCACCCCGGGAATATTAGCATAACTACGTAATGAGACCCCGCCTTTCCGTATCTCCTGTCGGGAGACTGTTTATCAACATTTCAAACGAACCCAAAGATGAAAAAAAACGAAAGAGAGTAACGCGTTGAGCTATGCCATTGGCTGGTTTTACTAAACGTAAAGCGTCAATGAGCCGCCATATTGCCGAGCCATACCCCTTTCATTCGACGTAGAAAAGACATTCACACATTTTTGGAAGTGTCTGGCGCTGCAGGGATTCCATAGAAATCCGGGTATCTACGCAAGCGCAACATTGCTTTATAAGGATATTACATTTTTAGTTTCACAATGACAAGCGTTATGGCATCTCCGACTGGCCAGAGAAACACGTGTAGTGGTGATGCACCGGTCAGCCCCACCAGAATAACCAGATTGCGAGAGAAGCAGCAGCTCAGGAACCTCAACGACCGTCTCGCTGTGTATATTGAGACAGTCCGAAATGTAGAATCTGAAAAAGACATACTTAATCTGAAAATTAGTGCGAAGGAAGAGGAAAGAAGCCGGGAGTTAGGTGGAATAAAAGCCTTATATGACACGGAGCTTGCCAATGCCAGACGATGTTTGGATGATTCCTCGAAAGAACAGGCCTGGCTGCAGATTCAGCTCGGAAAACTCAAATCCGAGTATGAGCAACTTTTACATAGGTAAGACTCGGACATCTATTTGGAATATTAAAAAGGGAGTGGATGCCACGGGGCGCATCACTTTACTGAAGGCGAAAGTCTTTGAATTCCGAGCCACTGTTTACAAATATTTAGATTTTAAGTTAAGTTCGAAGCTGCCTTTGCCTTCTCCAAAAGAGACACATCCACGTGATTTGTTCAAAACTTTTATTCATCCTTGCACAAAGTTGTAAAAAAAGATCAGAGTCAATGTAACGTCTGTTTTGTTCGGGGAAAATGACGTAAGCATTTGTGTTCGTGACGGTCATATGTTCAAAACCTTTACTAATCTTTGTACAAAGTAAAAAAAAAAGATCAAACAAGATCAAACAAAAAGTGATGTCTTTTATGTGACGTGACCACGACGTAAGCATTTGTGTCGGTGATGGTCATTTGTTGCTTTAATCTCCAAATTGTCCAACTGTCCTGAACACTAACGTTGAACTCGAAGTATATTTACAGCAAGTAGGGACATTCGAGAGAGTTTGACACTGTTCATCATTTAAAATTGATGTCAGGAGGAAATTGGCAGACTGGCATCCAGGTCATGATGAGTGTGAGGTTGCATTTCTCATATGCAATCATTTAAAAGACTGGATGACCATGCTAGTTTTATGCGTTGCACATTTTTTTGTTTAAAAAAAAAATCAGTTTCACTTTCACTCATCAGACTTGTATAAAATAATCAGGTTACTAAATAAAAATACAATTGAAAGCCTTTTGTCATTTTCTGGTGTAGCTACATTAAAAGTAGGGGCAAATAATGTGTCAAATCTTAAAAAAATGTAACACAGTGAGCTGTCAAAACTTCCAAGGCTTTGCTGGTCAATAATGCCAGTAATCAAACACCACATCTCCACCTCATACTTTTCTCAGAGTTGTACAGATGATGTGAGGCTACCTAACCTCAACTGGAAAGTTTCGACTTGACACATTAAACAGATCTGCTTGGCTCTATCGGCTCGAACGATTTTAAATTTTTTAAAATTTTTTGGGGAATATTTTGTGATTGGCTGTGTAGTTTATTCTATAAAATATTACAACATTTGAAGTATATTTATGATAACGTGATTCATTTGACTATAACAGTATAAATAGCCGATTTAAAATAATAAATTTGTACAAGTAGTTTACATTCCTCTACCGCTTATCTCGGGATGTGTCTTTGAATGTACATTAACATAACACTGTTGTTTTATTTATTTTTTTGTCACGGAGCATATACGTCCGAATCGTGAATGTATCTTGTCATTCCTGCCTCCGAGGTAAATAGCGCAACGATACAGTACGTCGCATTCACTGCCAGTCTGTGAAACATCTGTCCTACCATTGAGTGGTCCCTGCCGGGAAAAAAAAAATGGTTCGGGACCACTTAAATCAGTCCCATCTTTTTTCTCAATTGAACAGTTTTGTCATTTTAGAGGTGACGCCGTTTTGTGTCCCTTTGTATCATTATTTTTTGTTTTGAAAATGTGTCGTGTTAACCAGGAGGGCATTGGGACATTTGATTTAAAAACTGTTTGACCCTTCTCATATGTTCTGCTTCATAAAGCTAACTCCACAGTCCGCGTCATACTCAAACTGCGCCAACACATTTATTTTGTATTTTCAGTATGAAAAGAGAAAGATGGGTGCATCAAAACAATCACTGAAATTAAGTGGTTAATATGATTGTAAATGTATAAATTGAGACTAAAATGTTGTGTACTTTAAATGGAAGAAAACTTTTTAAATAACCCAAGACGTTTAGGCTTACTGCGAATTTCAGGTTCCCTGGTAATTGTCTGCATTTGCTAAATGGCAAGTCCATCCTTGTGGCCACTTGCGGGCATCTCAGGGTTTTAACTGTGCTTTCTGTGACCCCATCTCACTTTGGCGTCCATTGTACCCTGTTTTCTCTCCAGCAACCACAAAAAGGACTCTGATGCAGGTGAAGCCCACGCCCGGTTAAAGGATTTGGAAGCTCAGCTCAGTGCCAAAAATGCCAGACTCGCTACATCCTTGTCTGAAAAGACCGTCTTGGAGGCCACCTTGGGTGACCTACAAGAACAAATTGATAAGGTTAGAACTATTTTAGTATCAGTACATGTCAACATAATGTTCCATTTTTTTCTGTTTTGTTCTGAAGAATTGATTTTAACATCATGATTTTAAAGACTGCATCTGTGATCTTTCTTTGTCAGTTGATTTCCGACCTTGCTCAAACCAAGAAGCACCTTACTGACGAGATGCTCCTTCGCGTTGACTTCGAAAACCGCCATCAGAGTCTGACAGAGGAAATCGAGTTTCGTAAGACCATGCACCAAGAGGTGAGGATTTTATTGTGGGTATGCGGTGATTGAGGTTAGGCAATCATTAGTTTGGGTAATGTGTGGGAGGTTTGTTTTACCTTGTTTTCTAGTTGTGAATTGATAAGGGTGTCAATTTTAAATAGATGTACCGTCATTTAGAGCAACTCTGACCCACTGTATATGGAATTCATCTACAAGCGGTGCCTTTATCAGAGATTTTTAATGTCGAATGGGTGTCATTGTCTGTCATGGATTTCCCAATATACCGTATTTTCCGCACTAAAAGGCGCACCTAAAAGCCTTCCATTTTCTTAAAAGCTCACAGTGCGCCTTAAAATCTGATGACCCTCGTGTATGGTTATTACGGTAATGTCGACCCCCAAAATGGCTCCTTGCTAGAGACATGCTTACAACGCAGAGTTCAACTCAACTCAACTCAAATGTATTTATAGAGCACTTTCAAACAGCCGTCACTGCACACAAAGTTCTGTACATGGGGCAACTAACATATAAACTTAAGGCGATCGGGTTACGCAGTTGAACATGGAAATAGAGCAGCGGCAAGAGAGTTCAATGTTAACGAGTCAATGTTAAAACTTGCTGTTGGTTTAGTGAACTGTGTCGCTGCTTTATTAAATAAGTTTTACTGGCATTTGATCGTTCTGTAGCAACGCCACTCAACAGCTAAGCTATCTTAGCTGTTGTCGTTTGTTCAAAGCTTCTTTGATCTGTGACGTGGCTTGCGTCGGCGCTGATTGGTGTGGAAAATACGGTAGTCCCCTCCAGAAGTATGAGGCGTAGAAAGGAGTGTGTTTCCGGTAACATGAAATTTCAGCATAGGGTCGGTAGGTCGGACAAAGTTTTTTTTTGTTTGTTTTTTTAATCCCCCCCCCCCCCACT